ATGATAACCTGTTTAGTAAAAAATATTAATGTATTGGAACTTGAAATCTTATATAATTTTTTTTCTATTTTAGTTAATCTTTTGGGCTATATTGTAAATATTTATGAATTGAGAGGAGATTAGGATTGTATGAAAATTGTTTTCTTTTTAATCATTATTGGCCACAAATTAAGGGAGATGTCCATTTTATTAGATTAAAAATAAATATGAGATATCAAATAATTATTCACCTAGATATATTTATCATTTTCATCTCACTAATAATCTTCTCTCTCTCTCTCTCAATTGAATTTTGAACTATTTATAAAAAGATCTGTGACCAATGGATTGGGCTGATCACAAAGTATTTGTTTATTAGACTTATAAACCAAAATTTTCATTTCATTCTTTCACTCAACTTTAGTCTCTCTTATGAGCTTTCATGCTTCCTTTTTCTTCTGATGGCTAGCTAGATGATGAATATGGTAGGTCTTTTGGTGGGTCTAATTAATAAAAATACTTAATATTTAGTTTATTATTTCAAGAAGTGATATGAATTGTTTGGTGGAAAGATGAGGGGTTTGGAGGAAGAGGGTCAAAAAAAAATCAAGACTAATCATGTTTGGGTTAGTTCAAGTTAATTTGAATGAAATGCAGCATTCTTGGCTAAATGTATGACATTCATGTTGTCACTATGTAGCTTCCCATATCTTTTGCCCCTTGCTAAGTTCTATCAAGAAACTTTGCAAACAAATCATTTCCTTTTTAGCCTCAATGATAGCAATGTACTCCCTTTTTGTGGTTGAGAGCGCAATAATCTTCTGTAACTTGAAAATCCAATTGACTGCAATCTTTTCCAATGTGAAGATATAACAAGTTATGCTTTTCATACCATCAATATTTCCATCAATGTCACAATATATATAAACCTGTCGATCAATCATTGCACAACCAAAGAAAAAAGAGCTTTGTCAAGTACCTAAGAATTCACTTAATCGCCTCCCAATGAAATTTGTTTGGGTTGCTCATAAATCTGCTCACTACTCCCATTGCATATGCTATATCATATATTGTATAGATCATAACATACATAAAACTTCCAACTGTAGAAGCATATGAAGCCTTCTTCATATGTTCTTCCTCTACTTCATATTTGGATAATTGTTCCTTGGATAACTAAAAGTGACTACCTGCTTTGCCTCACTCATGTTGAATCTCTAAAACAACTTTTCAACATACTCTACCTGAGATAACTTAAATATACATGCACTTATATTTCTACTGATTCTTACCAAGAATTTTCTTTGTTGGACCCATATCTTTCATTTCAAACTCATTTGATAATTGTTCTTTCAGACATCTTATCTTCTCTATATCTGAACCTACAACCAATATGTCATTCAAATACAAGAATAATATAATAATTATCAAAATGTTTGAAAAAATAACAGTGGTCTGTCTGGCATTGTGTACCCATTATCTGACATAAACTTGTCAAATCTCTTATACTACTGTCTTTGGTGCCTGCTTCATCTCATATAAGCTCCTCCTGAGCCTACACACAACATCTTCATTACATATGACCACATATCCCTATGTTTGCATCACATACAACTCTTCTTCAAATTCACCATGAAGAAATATTGTCCTTACAAACATCTGTTCTATATGTAAATCCTCAACTGCTACCATACTCAGTATAACTCTGATTTTAGTCATCTTCATCACTAGAGAAAAATTTTTAGTGAAGTCCACTCATTCCTTCTACTAAAAATACTTAACTACAAGCATGGCCTTCTAGTGCTTGCTATCATCAAGTTCTTCTTTCATCATATAAACACACTTGTTCTGCAGTGCTCTCTTGTCATCTGATAGTTATGTTAACTCCCAAATCTGATTCAACTCAAGTGAACACATCTCAACATCCATGGCTTGCTCCCACTTATTTGAATCATCAACTTGAATGGCTTCATCATAACACTCGAGTTCACCACTATTAGTTAGTAATAGAAAGTACAAATAAGGAGAATACCTTTGTGCTAGCCTTGAGATTCCACTTGATCTCCTAATTTCAGTAGCAGGAGTCTAAGGCACTCTATGCATCATCAGCCTTGTCTTCTTGATCACCAATATCCTCTATCTCAACATATTTGGAAGAATCTTCAGGAATCCTATTTCTATCCTAGTATAATTCAATTTCATTGACTTTAAAATCTTTACTCCTGATGAATTATTGATTCTGATAATCCTAGAATTTGTAACCAAATTTATTTGAGCCATATCCAATAAATATACACTTGACAGATTTTGGATCAAACTTATTCATAGATCCTGCATCAATATGAATATAGGATGAACAACCAAAAACTTTGATGTGGGATATACTAACCTTCTTTCTACTCCAGGCTTCCTCAGATAACCTCTCACTCAGAGGAACTAAAGGATCACGATTGATCATATAAACTGTAGTATTCAATTATTTGCCCAGAACTACTAGGGTAGACCAGCATATAATCTCATGCTCCTGGCACGCTTAGTGATAGTTCTATTCATGTGCGCTATAACACCATTCTGTTTTGATGTTCTTGGAATAGTAAACTCATACTTGATCCCATTCAAATCACAATACTCTTTAAACTCCTTATCTTGATACTCTCCACCATTATCTGATTTGATACACTTGAGCTTCAGACCTATCTCAAGCTCAATTATGACCTTCCACTTCTGAAAACATCAAACACATTTGACTTGTGTTTTAAGAAGTACACCCATACCTTCCTATTATGATTATCAATAAATATAACAAAATGCTAAGATCCTCCAACAAAAGTAACTGCAGTAAGACCTCATACATTAGTATGCACTAATTCCAACTTCTTTGACTTGACCTTTAAACCAATATTTGAAAAACTCACCCTATATTGCTTGTCATATACACAGTCTTCATTAAAATTTGAATATATAAATTTTAAATCATGAAGCTTTTTTTAGTAAAAAGTGAATGCATATCTTTCTTAATCATATAGCCAAGCCTTCGATGATAAAGACCTCCATCAACATATGAATATGCTACTCCAATAGAATTTACTCATATTAATAACATATAAGGTGCCTTCAAATACTACCACAAGCTATAACCATAGCCCTTTTTGTCCCCTTCTACATATCTCTTATGAATAATATCACATGTCCTGAGTTTGCAAGCTGACTCATATAAATTAAACTTCTCTTCATACAAGGAACGTGCCTAACATCCCTGAGTCTCCAGATTGACCCATGTTAGCATTCTGATATCAATATCTCCCTATTCAAGAATGTTGCAGGGCTTGTTGTCCCCGAGATACACTTTACCCAAACACCTTGAGTATAGTTCTTGAATGTCTTCTTGTTAGGACTTGCATGAAAAGAAGCAGCTGAATCTAGCAACCAATATTCAGAATTATATAGAGATAAAATTAGAGAATATGACTGAATTCTTCTACAAATACATTTGCAAAATGATTTTTATTTTGACCTCCACCACTGCCATTCTTTGAAACTGTATAGCCCTTCTTTCCACATCTCTAACACAGCTTTTCCTCAACCAAAAATAAACTTTCCTCTCAAGGATTTAGATCTCTCTCTATTAGGATTTGTTTCTAAAATCCTTAATCGTGCTTCAACATTCAAAGCAAAATTTGAAGATTGACCATTCACACTCCTGCGAATCATTTCATTAAGCACTAACCCCATAATGTCCCCAAAATTCAACTTTGAACTTCCCGAAGATTTGCAACAATAACAAGCCCATCCCAGCTTTCTAACAATGAAGATAACAACAACAATGCCCTCGCCTCAAAATTGATGCCAATTGAATACAATTAACTCATCATAGTGTTCTGATTATTTGGGTGTTCCGTCATTGAGGTGTTGTCCAGCATCTTCATATTGAATAATTTTTCCATCAAGAACACTTTGTTTGAGGCCAATGGCTATGATCCACTGTAGTTTTCTCATTTACAATGTTGAAAGCAACAAATGAGGAAAGTGAAAGTCGTATCAAACCTAGTGAAATCTAATCAAGAACCTCTCATTCCTCCATAGTTGTAGAATCTAGCTTCTTGATGATTCTTTCCAACAGTAAATACAGCTTCATCTAATATAACAAATCTTCAATTTGCATCCTCCAGAACGCGAAGTTCGAATCATTGAACTTTTCAATCCTGTACCTTGCTTCATCATCCATTACTCCCACTCGAGCTGAAGAACCTCGCTATGATACCAATTGTTGCGGATGATGAGTAAACACCACAATGAAGAAACATCAAAAAAGTAAAAGCAGTGAAAAATAAAGGACACCATGATCTAACGTGAAAAAAAAATTCAAAATTGGGAAAAATCACAGAGCCACACCACACCAAACCAAAAAATTCACTATGAAAATTGGAAAAAAATAAGTACATATCTTTTCTCTCTCAATCTCTCCTCTTCTCACATGCACGGTTCCTAATGCCTGAACACATAAATACAAGAGAAAGTCAAATAAAATAACCCAAAGGAATGCAACCCTTCAGAAAATAAGAAAGAAAATCGTTCAGTCCATCTCGGAGCGCTGTGGCGCTCAAGCCTTTGACTTGCACAGTTGTAGCGTCATATCTATATCGTTGCGACGCTCTGGCCTCTGTCATTCAGCATTGGGGTGCTCAAGAACACAACGCGCTAGCGTACACAACGTCGGGGCGTTATGGTAGACCCCGCATCCCCTAACATACACAATAAACTTTAATGTCTGAAACAATAGAATAATCAGATTGATCAACACAATTAGATTAGACACAAAACATATCCAACACCATATTATTCCTAAGTGACATAACTTGAGCCGTATTATCTTTATCAAACTTCAACAGCATCTCTAGCATACCCCTTAGAATTGCTCATTTCCTAGCAAAAATTGAAGCCACCCATCCATTCAATGCACATATTTATTTGGAGGAAGTGTGGTTATTATTTTTGGTTTTACTTTATTAATTTAAATTAAAAAAAAAAACTAATTTATCTATTTATTATAATTTGTATACATTATGATAGCTGTAGCATTGCCCTTTAGGCAAACAAATTCTGCAAAAGATAATGACATTAAACAATTGCGAGACATTGCAGTATTTATAACAGAAGACATTTATTGCACATGCAGATTGTTACATAGATGGAGTATGGTGGGGAAATCATATACTCAAGCAGCAGAACTGGCTTTTTCCTCGTAAGACATTACTTTGTCTTTGCCCACTACAACATGCGAAAATTTGTTCACTTTCTTCTGATTGACTTTCACTTTCTTCCTCTTTGAAAGCTTCTTCTCTAGATTCTTCACTCGTTCGTTCAGTTCAGCAATTACCCCCATTTGTTCCTGTCCAGCGTTCAGTAATTTCTCTAACATTTGCCTTAGCTTTTCATTATCCTCAACGAGTTTCTTCTCTTCAGAGATTATTTCACAGTTCACGAAGTCACCAGGCAGAGATTTCTCCTGTTGCGTACATGAACGAGCCTCTTGTGAAGAATCTTTAGAATTGCTTTCACTTTCTATCGCATTAATTGAATACGATCCAGTTTCCTTCAGGCCAGTGTCACACACAGAAGCTTCTAGTAAAACCCCTTCATTGTCCATTGCTCCAGACTTGAGAACCTCTAAAGAATCAACACCGACAATGGTGCTAGTTTCAGCTGCTGGAATTTCAGAGCTAACTTCTACCAATTCATGGCTATTATTATTCTGAACTGCTGTGTCCATGGCGGCAGATTTAACACATAATTTAGCTTCTGTATTTGAATACTCGCTAATTTCACTATCTTCCTTCACTGGCTGCGTTTCCTCTTTCCAAGCATCACTAGATTGAATTGGATACATTGCAGCCAATGAGTCTGGCTCAAGCTGATATTCTTCTGATCTGTCACCCTCGCCAGCATGTTTGAAAGCAGCCTTCAATTCTTCAAGAGCTCCATCATTTCTTATAACAGTAACATCTTCAGGCTTGGTGGCTGCGCCTTCATCTGAATTGTCCTCTTTCTTTGATTCTGCTTTTTCTTTTAATGCAACAACCTCAAACAAGGATTGCTTGTTTTCTTCATTGGGGTTTTCCGCTATAAACTCCTCATTCCTAATTTGCTCCTCTAATAATGAGATAGAGGGGTTTTCATGCTTAGAATCACACTCTACATCATTTAGATCTTGTTCCTTCAAAGCTTGCATTTCCTTCCACTTAGTACTTTGATCTGAATCAGGTTGCTGTTTCATAACAAAGTCAAGTACTTCAATTTCAGGAGGAAGTGCTACAACGTATTGGCTCACGTACTTCTCAACCATGCTTGCATTTCCTTCAGCTGATGACAAATTATCAGCTTCAGAATCGTGCAGGCAGGCCATTGGAGATCCTTCACTCTCCTGAAGAAACTCGTTCTCTACTTTGAAGTATTGAGAAGGCTGCTCTGACAAGATTTTCTCTTTCATATGGCTTCCAGAAGAAGGTAAATCTTTTTCTTCTGGAGTTAAAGTGATCTCAGAGACATCAGTAGTAGAACTGCTGCTTTCATCTTTCTTCTGAGTTCCTTCTTCATGTTCATTGGTGGCTTGGCTGTACAGCTGATCAAGCTTGTCCTGCAAGCACACAAGATCTCTTGCTACGGACTTTCTAATCTCTCTCAGGCTCGGAAGTAAACCCTGTCAGATAATAATCATTAAATTATTAAGAATAACCTGATCTCATTGATTAAGAATAAATTGTAACATATTTTTAACATACCTGGATGGTATCTAATTGCAGTAGCAGATTCATTATGGTTTCACTAATAATAACTTTTTGCTTCACATCCAGTTCTGGAGAACCTTCATAATTTTGAATTTGGCTCTTCACATCATTCAGATTTCCACGAATTTGCGCAATCTTCTGAAGTTTGTCCAGTGGCTTCCACCTTCTAACATTAAATCCCCGAAAAGCAGACTGGATGAGTAATGCTGCATCCTCCGGTGAATATTTTTTCTGCACCTGCTTCTTATAGTTATTATCCGAAGTATCAACTTTCTCTTTTTCCCGCTCAATCATCCGCTGCTGACTTATGGGAATATCCTCTTCTTTGTTTCCACCCACATCAACTTCAGTTGTAACAACATTTCTGGCCTTTTCACCGCAATGGTCTTCAATACCTTTCATATCTTGCCCAGAAACAATTGCTGCAGCTGTGTCTTTGCCGCTTTCACCTGATGGTTGATGTTCAACATCTATGACTTTAATATCTTTAGTAGTATTGTCTGATTCCTTATTCCTGATAGCAGCATCGGCTAGATTACCTTCATGGGGTTTAACCTTATCCTTCAAGCTAGGTAGACTTGGAGAACGAACCTTCTCATTTGATCCATTCTTCTTCGGCAGGGGTTCCACTCTCAAGCAGACAGGAGGAAGCTTTGATGGCTTCTGTGGTGAGGGCTGCTTCTTACCACCTTTCTTTAATTCAGCATCATACTTTTTCTCTTCCGTAACAGAGTTCTTTAGCAGATCATCTGGCCTGTCAGCCATGCTAAGCTTCTCACCACTGCTACTGTGAAGGTGCATCACAGGAATAGTCCTAATTTTGCTTTCTTTCTCGGATTGTTGAGTTTTAGTCTCTTCCTCCAGAACTCCTGGTTTCTCAACAGCATTCTCGTTACCCAAAAGCTTTAATGGAACTATCTTCAACTTTGAAGGCCAGTCTTCAGCAACTTTTGGAGTGGTATCAATCTCTTTCTTATCTTTCACAGATTCTTCAGGTTTGCCATTACCAGGCAGCCAAAAAATTGGATAAGGCAATTGTAAGGTTCCACTCTCTCCTTGTCCCTGTCTTAAGTCCTTGAGATTATCCTTCAAATTACGCATAGGCAGTGATTCCTTCTTCTTTTCAGTCTTTCCATCCGTTGTACTGTTCTCAGGATGCCACATCATTGGATGATAGTTGTAAGGGAATTGAATCAAGCCACCTTGATCGCCTTTTGGTGTTGTCGCTGGTCCCTCATCAATTGTTGGGGAAGTGTTTTGCTCTTCAATTTTCACATTGCTACCTTCTTTTCTATGGGAATTATGATTCGGACAACCACAACAGTGATTTTTGTCTATATCATAATCAAAATGTGGAGGAATGAATAAAGGTGGGTAGGCATTTTGGTACGAAGGATAGGGACCATGGTAATGCATTTGAGGTGGATGCTGGTAATGGAAGTATGGAGGTCTGAAGCTGCAGTAACCAGTAGGGTAACTACGATTGCAACAGCTATCATGTTCTACCTGATTATTGTAAGGGCAGGGGCCGCAAGATGATGGATGGTTGAATGAGTCCGCCTTCATGTGAATTGGTGTTGGTTCCCAATTGGGATAATAATGATATGGAGAGGGAATGTGCTCCCATGGATGATGCAAGTGTTGAGTGTATGGATCCATGTTCCTGTAACCAGGAAACATTTATGGGTGTTCTAGTGAGAGACCAGTTACTTTGACGATCCTGCAAACATTCAAAAAAGAGGTCAATTTATCAGAATAAAATTGTTGCAACTTGTGATAACTTGTTATAAAGAACCAATCAAGATGATTATGGTTGATAAGAAAACAAAATATCAACGAAGGAATTTTTAAGTATGGAAGGTCTTTAAAACTTGATTTTCCAGAGGAAATAAGATAAGCAACTAATGTATCGTTTTAAGATTATAAAAAATCATACATCAGAATTGGCATCAATCGTTAGTCGTCGCATACGCTATTGTAAGTCCTAATTCAGTATCCATGACATCACAAAATGAGGAATGAAAAAAAATCAATTTTAACTAAAAGAAATTATTCTAATACCAAGCTCTTTTTCTTTTACCATTGAAGAACACTACCGCACATTTCACCCTTCGCTACTTCCCCCGTGTCGGTCAAGAACCTTGTAGGATATTTCATCTTTCTTTTCATCAACCTTCGATCAATAATACCATTGACAAAACGCTCTTTGCATAAAGAAAACTAACATTTTTCACAACAAATTTTACTCTATGAAATTCTCAACATTTCGTCATGATTTCTCATTTTTGTCATTTCACATGGTCCGCAAAGATCCAGAACATGTTAAATGTTCCTTCTAAAATCTTTCTTTCAAAATGTTGCAAAGATAAGCTTGGAAGGTGAAATTTCAATTTGAATTTGTTATTAAAGAAAGAAAGATTGAGTTGAACATATTCATTCCATTCTCCTATAAACAGTTTCACCTGTCTCATTTTATTAATTGAAATCATTCATAAAATACAACGATTCTAAGAGAATCAGAGCAGATTTCGCATGATACATGTGAATAAATTCACAGGAAAATGCTTACTGGATAGCTCACTCCATAACGAATCAAAACGTTTGAATATATTTCCTTTATAAGAACCCCTAGCCAAACATATAAATCAAAGGTTAACAAGTAGAATTGCCTACGGATGATGAAATATTCCAGCATAACTTCAGAATTATAACTGGTTTAAAAAGAATGTTTTAGAACTCTATCCAATCAGCTATTAAACCAAATAAGGTGACGAATCAGTTTTAAAACCCTCGCCCAGAAAACAAATTCCCAATACTAATATTATTCTCAACTATTTCCGCGTAAATGAGAACAATATCAAACAAGAATCCCTAGATTGAACATGCCACAAATTTTAATAGGCAACCCAAAAGTCCCATGAACTTTCACCGATGATTGAATCAGAAAATGAGAAATTAAGGAATTTGTAACTTACAGGTAGAAGAGGAGACGACGTAGATCGTTGAAGATGTACACTTAATCAACCTTCCAATCTATCCACAAAACCAGTTTACTTAGATACCGGCGTTATTCTGACCACAAGCTTTTCCCTCGGTCTTTCGCTTATCGGCGCTTTCGAGCTCTTCTGGATCTTTCTCTGTAGAAACGAAGAAGAACTGTGATCCTGAATTCAATTTATACTGCTTGCTTCCAGCGTTTCTGGATACTTCCTGAATCCTGTAGCTATTTCTACCTTCGGACCGGTTAGCTGAAGAAGCCTTACTGAGTTAAACCGAGTTAGTTTGAGGACTCAATAGTCGAAATTGAGTCAGATCTGACTCAGACTCATCAATTCCAATTGGCTCATTCGGAAATTATTAATTATTAACTATTAATATAAACTATACAAAAACAATAATAACACCAAGCCTTTGTTCCACTACATAGGGTTTGCTACATAAATCTTTTTTGTTTCTTATGTTATGTTAAGAGTCTGAAATTTTCATTTAAATTTAATAAAAAATTGTCATTTCTAATATGTTCTAGCTAAGTCTTTTAGGTCAACCTCTACTTTTTAATATAGGCCAAATCCAATACATCTACTCTCCTAATTAGGTCATCGAAAGACCAATATTTATGTGTCCAAATCATCTAAACTGGTTCTCTCTAATCTTTTCTATCACTAGTGCTACTCCTACCTTTTCATATAAATACTCATTTCACCTTCTATCTCTAAGAGTGAAGCCACTCATCCACCTGAGCATTCTCATCTCTTCAACACTTAACTTTATGTTTCTTTTTAATAGCCAACATTCTGTGTCATAAAGCTTTGCAGATCTCACCACTTTCTTATAGAATTATTCTTAAAGTTTGAGGGGTACTTTTCTATCACACAAAAAGCCTAATGCAAACCTGCACTTCAACCATTCAACTTGAATTTTATTAAAAATAACTCTACCTATTTTACCATCACATTGAACAATCGACCCAAGATATCTAAAATATGTACCCTTATTAATGAATTGATTTCCGAAAGTCATAGTTCCCCACTAGATTTATTACTACTAAAATTACACTCCATATATTCGATTTTAGATCTACTCAAATGAAAACCTTCACAGGTTAAGATTGACCTCAATAATTCAAGTTTTCTTTTAACTCCCTCTCTAATCTTATAAATAAGGAGAATATCATCAGCAAAAAGCATACACCAGGGAACATCTTCTTATAAATGTCTTGTAAGGATATCCATGACTAAGCAAAATAATGAGGGCTTAAAGTTGATCATTGATGTAATCCAACAAAAATAGGAAAATACTTGGTTTAACCACCTTGTGTTTGCAAACAAGTAACAGCTCCTATATACATATTTTTAATGACTTGAATATAAGCATAATTAACTTCGTTCTTTTCTAGAACTCTTTAGAGCACTTCTCTTGAAATTTTATCATGTGTATTCTTTAAATCAATAAATATCATATGTAGATACTTTTTATTCTCTCTATACTTCTTCATCAATCCTCTCAATAAATGCATAGCTTCTATAGTATACCTACCTAGCATGAATTCAAATATATTTTGAGAAACATTAGTACCACATTATAACATATACTCAATAACTCTTTCCCATAGTTTTAAAGTATGACACATTAACTTAATTTCTCTATAATTCACACACTCATGTGCATCTTATTCTTAAAAATAGAAATCAACACACTTCAGCTCCAGTAATCTGTCATCTTTTTAGTCTTTAGAATAATATTTAAAAATTTTGTAGGCTAAGAAATTCCTTCATATCCTAAGCATGTCCAATTGCTTTTCCACACCTCATTTTTTTAAGGGCCTCTCTAACTTCAATTTTACTAATACTATAATAAAAATAAAAATCTATATTAATATTGTGGGTGTTAAGATTGCTAAAGTCAATTGAATTCTCACAATCTTCTTTGAAAAGTTATCAAAATATCTCATCCACCAGTATTGAATATCATTTTCTAATAAATCATTAAAAGCAACATTTTGATCTTCATCCTTAATGCACTTCTAGCTTAACATCTTTCACCTTCCATAGTAATTATTCTATTATACAAATCATTAAAAGCAAAATTTTTTGCATCACATACTTTCTTATATTCCTTATAGTACCATTTATATCTTTCTCAATTTTCTAAGCTTTTACATTAAAACTAATTTTCATAATAAAGCTTCTTATTTTTTATATTTTCTTACATATTTTGATGCTAGTACTAACTATTATTAATATTAAGGTCTTTTCTTTTTTATACTCCATGCACATCATTTGCAACATTATTAATATCACTAGCTACTTCTTTCACATAACATTAGCTTTCTTACGCACTATCAAAATCTTAAGATCTTGAATCTTACTCTTAAAAATATTTTTGTTAAGATTCTTTAAATGACCCCATATAAACTTAGGATAATAATTTACTTTATTTTGCTTATTTTCACCCATTCATCTTAAAGTTCAAAACTAATAAGCAATATTGGGTACATAAATATACACTCAAAACAACTTTACAATCTAAATTATTTTTTTCTTATAGCAAAATAATCAATATGATTCTTAATATATATATAAATGATGAGGTACTCCTCTCTTTTCTTAAAAAACATATTAACAATCACAAAAATATAAGTTAAAGAAAAATTAAATATGTTTATACCAACTTCATTAGTTTCCCCAAAACCCATAGCCACTATAAATACTTTTTAAATCTGCTATCACTCTACCAACATGTATATTTAAATCTCTTCCTATAAAAACCCTTTCTTCAAGAGGTATATTTCGTATTAATTCTTCTAAGTCATTCCAAATATTTATTTTGAACACATATCCAAACTTACTTGGAAAATATAAGCACTTATAATATTAATAATATTAGCATCAACAATAATATTTAAAGTGATAATTTGATTAATTTCTATAATAATATCCTTCAAAATCTTATTTATAATCACACCTAAATCATTTATAGTACGACATCTACCTAGATACCAAAGTATAGATCATAAACTATCGATCTCTTTAGTCTTCTCTCTAACACATTTAGTTTCCTAAATGCAAGAATATTTATTTTCCTTTAAATCAAAATATCTATTGCACCCATTAATTTTCATGTAAGAAAATCTATATGTAATAACTCAAAAGTTTTAAATCAAATTATTTAAAAATATAAAAAATATGATCCTAGAGACAACACTATAACAATAGACTAGCAAGCACAACGGCACCAAGAATTACTACCATGACGGTTAGATCTTTATTCGATAGTAACATTAGAGGCATCAAGTAGCGCAACGGTGCAGGATCTTGTGCATCACAGTGCCAGGCACTAAAATAATTTTAGAATTATTTTAATATAAATATCCTTGTCATCCACCATCCCCCCCCCCCCCCCCCCAGTTGCCCCCCCCCCCCCCCCCGAATTGGACATGAAGAAAGAAAGGAGAAGGAGAGGAGAAGGGAGAGAGAAGAGAAATGAAGCTCTCCGAGGCATTTTCATCCATCGTTCATGTTATAAAAGTTATTATGATAGTTGTAAGTGGCCGCTATTCTACTTATATTTTCAATGATTCTAAATTTGATACATTTCTCTCTTAAATATAGAAAAAATATAATATCCTACATTTTAGTGAGCTTTACTTTTGATATGTGATAGAGATTGCAGTTTTAAACATTTTGACTAATTTATATGGAAATCACTAGTTAATTTTGTTTGTATGTTATTTTATCTAAAATTTGTAGAAATGTTTGGGTGCAAAATGATCAATAGTAAATATACTAAATTTGGATATGAGTTATATGATATGCATATGGTAATTATTCTTTTGGCTTGACCTGCATTTTGGCATAATACCTACATATTGATGAGCAAATCTATATGTTATGGAAATTGCATATGAAATGTACAGGATGTGTATATAAATGATAAGATATGCATAAGAATATACGTAATGAATGAACTGATATGCTAAATAACATAGATGGGATAAGACTATATTGATGACTAATGAGTTGAGATAGATGACAGATAGGATAGATGGCTAATAAAGTTGAGGGATGATTTATGAAAAAAGACTGGTATGATTGAACTCTCAAGATCAAGATACTCTCCTCTGAATATCTAATATACAAAAAGAGTAATGATAGTACTGATAGAGTGGTATAAGAGCAATGGTTGGTGAAAGAATTAAATTGTAACCAAAGATTATGAGCAGAATAAAAATGGATAGTATATAAAAGTATTGAGTTGAATTCATGCATTTATGAATATGAGCTATATACATAAATATATGTGGCAAAAATAATAGAATATGAATTATATATGTATTTAGTTAAAAATCTGTTGAGCTAATTTTACACATGAAGATGAATTCAAATGGACAAAAGATTTTGACTAAACAAGATATAGGAGCAGCTTCAACTACACCTAAGAGTCTATTAAAGTTTGCCAATATAATTGCTCAAATGATAAATGAAAGATTATTTAAGTAGTCTAAATAATGAACTTATGAACATAAACATCCAATAATTAAAAAAATAAGTGAAGGTAGTAAAAAGATGATTATGAAAGCAAATGTGCTAAAAATACTGCAATGTATCTGGTGTGAAAGAAGGCATGTAGAGCAATATTATAGGATTATAGGTCAATGCTTTAGGTGTGATAGTTATGGGCATAAGATGATGTATTATCCACTACTTGTATATGAACAAGGAGTTATTTAGACCTGCGAAGAAACTGTGAATGGTGAGAAGTGCCTGATAATTCTTTTCTATTATAAATATTACTTTATAATTTTATTATGTTGGTTTGAAATTTATTGATTTCCCTGATATGTAATTCATATGTGCACTTATCAAAAAATAAAATTATGATTTAGATGATGAGATCGGTGATCAATTCTAATCTATTTATTACTATTCTATAATTAAAATATCAAGGATGATATTTTTCAAAGATGGGAACTTTAAAATAACCTAAATGTTTAAAATTAATTAATTTGAAATATAGAAAAATTTGATCTAGTAGGCAGCGCAGCGGTGCCATGATTACTACCTCCACATTGAGCTTTCTATTTTATAGTAAATATAGGACTAGCATGCAATGCATCATTGCTTGATGTTGTGTGCCATAGTGCTAATCACCAATATGA